TACTTCAAGATGGGTTTCACTAAATTTTCATCAGAATTATTTACCTTATGTAAAATAGTAAGTCATCTCATTTGCTTTCAACTTTTATCTCGATGTACATATGTGATTAATTTCTCTCAAAATGATTAAATCTTTCTCAATTGTATTAAATTGCTTATATTTTTTGTCATCTAGGTGGTTGAACGACCTAATGTGAATTATTCTAAGTAACAAATTATCAAATAAAGGAAAATTAATTATTTTTAGTGAATTCTTTCAATGTGAAATAAAATTCATTGGAATTATTTTTTAAATGTGTTTATTCTAAAATTACATCTATTCATGAAAAATATATATTGTTAATTTTGAAAATGGAATTATTATAAATTGCATGGGTACAAAATAACAAATTTGCTATTATAACGATTGAAATTTTCTTAAGAAGAAAATATGATAACATACCAAGGTTAGAAGTTCTTTTTATTTTATTTTTAAAACTACATATTTTAATATTTATATATAATAAAAATTCATGTATAACAAATATTTGTAGATAATAGAAAATTTAAGCATTCAACTAGTAGAATGCACAATTATGTTTAATCGATGAAAGTATTAATGGAGGATTATCCTAAACAAAAATGAAAACGAAATATTGATTGGTTATATATTGTTTTATCTTTTTTATATGATAAAAAAAAGTTATTGTTATATGATATTTCAATGAAAAAAACACAAATGTATTAATTTTGAATTTCTTTAGAATTAATATGAAACTCTTTTATTAGGAGATACATTGTTTACTGTTTCATTTTCTCTATTATTATGATTAATCAATAATATTTTAGTAGTAAATAATTTATAACTTTGGATTAAATCAATAATAATATAATAATATAGTATTAAATCAGTGATAATATAATAGTACATGTATAATAATTTATTAATAAATCAATTATAACATATCTGTAAATATATAATAACATAATAGTAAATCACAAATAATTTAATAGTTAAAGATTAATAACTTAATAATAAATAATAATAACTTAGTAATAAATTAGTGATAACTTAATAGTAAATTAATTTTAGTTTAATATTAATTAAATGATAAACTTAGTAGTATAAATTATAAATAACTTAGTAGTAAATAAATTATTAATAACTTAGTAGTAAATAATTAATAACTTAGTAGTTAATTATTGAAAATTTAAAAGTAAATTAGTATAATTTAATAGTAAATTATCATAACCTAGTAGTCAATCAATGATAATTGATAATTTAATAATAAATCATAGACAACTTAATAATAAATTAATGATAAATTAGTCATGAATCATAGATAATTTAGTATTAAATCAGTTATAAGTTTGTAATAAATAATTGAAAACTTAGTAATAAATCAATGATAACATAGTTAATAAAAAATAAGTAATAACATAATAGTTAATTACTAATAACTTATTAATAAATCAATGATAACTCGGTAGTAAATTAATAATAATTTTATAGTAAATAAGTTTTATTTTAGTATTAATTAATTGATAAACTTAGTATTATAAATCATAAATTACCTAGTAATTAATAAATCAATAATAACTTAATAGTAAATAATTGATAACTTAATAGTTAATTATTGAAAACTTAAAAGTAAATCAATACAAATTATAATAGCAAATTATCAATAATTTAATAATCAATAAGTGATAACTGATAACTTAATAGCAAATTATGAATAACTTAATAGTAAATTAATGATAACTTAATAATAAATTATAGATAATTTAGTAGTAAGCTAGTGATAATTTGTAGTAAATAATTGAAAATTTATTAGTAAATCACTTATAATATAGCAGTAAATACATAATAATATAATAATAAATCATTGATAATTTAGTAATAAATTGATAATTTTGTAGTAAGTAACTTAGTAGTAAATTAGTGATAATTTAGTTGTAAATCAATAAAATTTAGTAGTAAATTAGCTAACCATTAATAATTTTATAATGGATTATTGATAATTTAATGGTAACTAAATCAGTGATAACATTATAAAAAATTATCAATAAATTAGTAATAAATCATTTATAAAATAATTCTAAATTATTCATAATATAGTAATAAATTAATGATAGTTTAATTAAAAATATTGATAGCTTAGTTATAAATCATTGATAGCAAGTAGTTAATCAGTAATACTTTAATCGTCAATCAATGATAACCTTTTTTAATATTTGAAATTATTAAAATTGAACTTTGATACCTAATTAGAGTGAAGCCAAACCTTTTCGTCTCATAGTTAGGATAAATTTTATTATGAACCTAATCAATAAAAGATTTAAAAAAATTTAAATTAAATAAAATAATAATTTATTATAAAATAAATTATCTCATATATTGTTAATCAACTTTTTAAACTCCATATTTTCACAAAAAAAAATTTTTTACTAGTATAATTTAATAAGTATTTCATAAATTAATGATGAACTAAATAAATCAAACAATAATTTACAAAAAAAAAGTAAAAGTTATACAAACCTATAAAAATTAAAATTATGAGTTTAAAATAAAATCATAAATATCGTAAGAAATTAAAATTATAATTAACGTCATATCACATTATGCATAGTAACTAAACATTTCTTAATTATATTTTATTAACAGTGAAATTGTTTTGACTAAAAAAAGACATGATAATAAGAGTCAACATATTTTGATTAAGAAAAATTTGCAAAATGTAAGAAGTTAAAGATTTTTACGTTTCAAATTAGTCGAATTAAGAATGTAAATCTAAAAAATAAAAGTTTTAACAACTTATGAATTTTGGAGACGCCAACATGAGAAAAATAAGAGTGAAAGAATTAAGGTGAATTAAGATTTTAAAAAATAAAAGGAATGACATTTGCTAGCAGTAAATCTAGAGTCCATTTATTAGGAAATTGGTGGTCATAATAAATTAATGTTAATTTAGTGGTAATCATCAATAATTTAATGTTAAATAAGTTATAACATAATTGTAAATTAGTGATGGTAGTAAATTAATAATAATTTAGTAGTAAATTAGTGTTAACTTGTAATAAATTATCTATAATTTAATAATAAATTATCTATCATGTAGTAGTACATTAGTGATAACTTAATAGTAAATCAACGATAACTTAATTTAATAGTAAATAATTGATAACTTAGTAAAAAAATTATAACTTAATAGTAAATTAATAATATAATATAGTAAATCATTAACAACTTATAGCAATAAATTGTTATCTATCTATTTCATTATTAACTTGAAATCTTTACTAAAATAAATTGTTGTGTTGTATGGTATCTTTTATTACATTTATATCAACTAAAAAAGAATTATGTCTTGAGGGACTTTAAAAAAAAAGAAAAGAAAAATGAGTTTAAACTTATTTAAAAATAAAATAAAAAAAGTTATCTATAAGTTATTTTTTAGGATGCGTAATATTTTTAAATCAAATATATAATTTAATAATAATAATAATAATAATAATAATAACAATAATAGTATGTATTGTATAACTTATAATTTTATAATAATATTAATTAAATAGTGAATTTTTTTATGTGATTTATACTAGATATATAATTAAGCGTTTATCAAATAAAGAAATTATTCTATTTCAATTAAAAAATAGATTCAAATATTAAAAAAAATTCACTATCAATTTTAAAATCTAATAAAAGATTTAAAACAAAATTTACCTCCAAAATATAAGAATATTTCTTACCAATTGTCAAAAATGACATATCCTATTAATTTTAAAATTTCTTATATTTCATTATTTAACAAAAACAATATTAATATTGAACCAAAATTAATTGAGATATTTTAATATTTAAAAAACACAAAAAAAGCTATTTGCTTTAGGATAAAATACACCTTTAAGTGTAACTGTGTTTTTCAATCTCTTATCATAAGATATTTTTAGAAGTTATTTATATTTAATGGTATTTTAAGAAATCAAGATTTGAGACTAAAATTAATTTTAGTAAATATCCATTATAAATACGTAAATAAACTTCATTGATTATTAAATTAAGACTTTGTATTTTATTGCTTCATATCTTTTCTTAGAACATGTTTATAAATTAATATTTTCTAATTAATAAAATTTGTGTAAATATACACTTTTTACTATAAAATGAAATTACAAAATAATTTATATTATTTAAATAGGTACATGTTAAAATGAAAGTCAATAATGAAAAAAGAAAGCATTATATAATTATCTTATTTCAAAAACAAAAAATTTACAACAACTCCATTTCGAATTAAAATAAAGAATTTAAATTTTTAGTACCAAATAGATAAGAAACAAAACTTGAATGAGTTGAACAATAAGTGATTGTCCAGAAAATTCATAAAATTAAAAATAATGATTTACTACAAAGAACTAAAAAGAGAGCTCGTGAAAAAAGTACAAAGCAAAAAAAAAAAAAATATATATATATATATAATTCAATTTGATTGTAACAAAAAATAATTTTTTTAAAATAAAAAAAATGTAAAAAATGTAAAAAAAATAATGAAAATGATGACTTAACACTAAAATACTTGAAGAAAAAAATTTCTAAATAGAAAAATATTATATATTTAAAATTTTTGTTATATTCTTTTGCTTTCAACCTTCACTGATTATATATTTAAAGATTATATATTATAATTATTTTTTTCCTGGAGCTTTACATTAAAATTTATGTTATATTTACTTTTTAAACTTAAATTTACATTTTCAATTTAATTTAGTATTATAATGATTATTTTAATTTTATTACTATAAAAAATTAAAATTATTTAGTTATATTAATTTAATTTATATTTAATGTATTATCAATCAATAAATATATATTGTTAATGTATTAAATAATATTATTTTATTAAATATTAAATATTAACTTTTAAAATAAATATATAAAAATTAAAATTAAAAAATTACTATTAATTATGTGGTATCATATAATTTATTTTATTAATAAAATAATATCACTAAATTTGTCGACGATGTATAAAATTCACTCACAGGATACTCGAGTATAACTTAATTAACAATTATTATGCAAGTATCACGACTAGTAAATCTTAAAATAAGACTCTGTGGCCCTGATTTGTTCTTCGTCAACGCGGAAATGTTTGGTCATAAAAGTGGGAACTGATAGTGAATTTGATTTAATCATGCAAACCATATCCAATGCCTGAGGTATTGCTGCTACTTTAGCCCCATTTCACAGAAGCTGTTTAAACCAAATACTCTTGAAACACTAGCTAGTTCATTTCTGGAAGTAATTCTCTCTAGCTGTACAGTTTGCAATAGTAGCTGTATTTCAAGCCTCCAGGAAAGAAGAAAAGTTCACGTGTTGATACGCTTTAGAGTGATGGTAAGCAGAAAAATTATGTTCCACAGAAGATGAGAAGAACTCGTAGGTGGTCAGTAGTTCACATCCTCTCTGCCATCTTATCTTGCTATACAATTTTGATATTGTCTTCTCTTAATGGCTGCTCTGCTATAACTATTATAACACCAAAAAGTGGGCTATTTGATGGACAAACTCTTGTTTCAGCTGGAAATAGATTTGAATTGGGGTTCTTTGGCCCATCCACAAGCCCTGAAGTGAAGAGATATATAGGGATATGGTACACCTCCAGTCCACAAACAGTTGTTTGGGTTGCTAATAGACAAAAACCACTTTCAGATAAAAGTGGAGTTTTATCTATTGCAGATGGCAACCTCAAGCTATCTGATAAGAAAGGGAACCGTTATTGGTCTACAGAGCTTGAGGTCAGACGTTTCAACCTTACGGCAAAGCTGAATGATACTGGTAACTTAATTTTGTTTGATGCACGGTTGACGGTTCCCTTTGTATGGCAAAGCTTTGACCATCCAACAGATACATTTCTTTTTGGCATGAAGATGGATGAAAAGTTAGCTTTAATTTCATGGACCAGTGAAGAAGATCCTGCACCTGGGAATTTCACGTTCCAGCAAGATCGGGAAGAAAAGAATCAGCTTGTAGTCATGGAAAGAAGCATCCCTTACTGGAGATCAAGTGGGGCGGAGTCAGGTAAAATTTTTAAATCGGAGGAAATGCCTTCTTTCATAGTCAACTTCTTGAATTTTACAGAGAAAAACCCAGAACTTTACAATGATACAAGAATGGTGATAAATTTTACTGGAGATTTACAGTATTGGAAGTTTGACACAGACAAGAAAAATTGGTCCTTGATATGGTGGGAGCCAAAAGATAACTGCAGTAAGTTCAATTTTTGTGGGAACTTTGGCACCTGTAGTCGCAACAATAAGTTACCATGCAAATGTTTGCCAGGTTTCAAACCTAAATTCTTAGATAAATGGAATGCTGGAGATTTTTCGGGTGGTTGCTCCAGAAACGATACATCATGTGGCGACGACTTCTTGAGCTTGAAAAGGATGAAAGTGGAATATTCAGGCTCACCGTACGAGGTTAAGGATGAAAAAGACTGCAGAGAGGAATGCCTGAATTTGTGCCAGTGCCACGCATATTCAGTTATCTTCCAAGGAGACTCCATTAATTCGTGTTTGACCTGGACAGAGGATCTCAAAAATCTTCAGGAGGACCAAGATGATGGCTATGATCTCTACGTCCGTGTTTCGCGGTCTGATATAGGTACTTTACTCTTCACAAAGCACATATATATCAGTAGTCATGTTAGCAAATTTAGTAAGGATACCGTAGAAAATTTGCAAGAATCCGATACGAATTTTCCCGAGCTTAAAGTGAACCTGGGAAATGCATCTCCTACAATTAACATTCGAATGCATACTGGGAGTACTAATTTCTTCTTTGGATGATTAAGTAACATATTATTCCAGAAACAAAATTTTCAAGGCTGAAACTTTAACAACTAAATAGGGAAAAAAAAAAACTGCTCAAAATACTAACTTGTGTATTGTCAATACCCCAGCCAGAGCAAATCTATCTGTGAACACTGTAGCTCGCAGCATTCATCAAAATGTCAATCTAATTCTAATATGAAAAGACAACAAAGAATCTCGTCAATCAAATCTTCTGTTTTAGCAAATGCAGCGAAAAGGCCTGCTGCTATTTCTCTCCTACCTGATGTTGCAAATTGCAGCAGTCAAAGAGTGCCCTAAAGGTTACACAGCAACTGAAGCCAAATCTTCAGAATTTTTAGTTTTTGCCTCTTGCAGGAACAATTTACCAAAGCAATTCTGAAGTAAAAGCTCGATGTAACTATTTCTATTCTACTTGCAGAATCAACAGTTAGAAATTGTGCGACTTGTGGCACGAATTTGGTCCCTTATCCCCTAAGCACTGGACCAAAATGCGGTGATCCAATGTACTTCAGTTTCTACTGTAACAACAAGACAGACCAGCTATGCTTCATGGCACCTAGTGGCAATTATAGTGTCATTAGTGTCAATCGGGAGGCACGAATATTTGTTATCCAAATACAAGCCGATGAAGCAGATAATTGTGGTGGTATGCATTCGTCAGGAAGCAAAATTCTGCAGCTCAGTGAATCATCGCCATTCAATGTGACTAGAAGGTACAGTGATTATCTAGGCAACTTTACTACTGATTCTTCACTAAATGGTGCAGTTGAAGTAGAAATTACGTGGAAGCCACCGCCACAGCCAACCTGTAATGCATCTGTTGACTGCAAGGATTGGCCGCATTCAACTTGCAATGAAACAGGAAATGGACAAAAAAGGTGCCTTTGTAATACTAACTTTCGTTGGGATGGCTCAGCTTTAAATTGTACTCGAGGTTAGCATTAAATTTGATGCATAGAATTGTGGTATAGCACTTACCTCTAACAAATGGCGAGTCAATTTTGGTCATGTATCTACCGCTTATGGAATAAAATTCATTTTGCCTTGCCTTCCAAGAGAGAGAGGAAAAAAAAAAAAAGAAAAAAAGAAAAAAGAGGAAGTTTTGGTCTGTATGCCATCAAGAATGGTGCCCCTGAAGCACTATTGGTATGACATTCTCTGACCTATTCTTGCAGAAGGTGGACATTTGGAAGAGCATTTTAATAAAAACAAGCCACTTCCTCTGATTTTTGGAGTATCTGTGCCAATTGCAATGGGCATTTTGTGTGCCGTTGTTTCTATCCACATGTGGAGAACAAAGCTGGTAAAGAGGCGAGGTAAGTGTGGTTCATCTTTTACTCTGACTTCCACCAACTTACTGGATCAACATAAAAGTAATAGTTCTGGGATTTTCTATATAGTTAGTTTTTTTAACAAAAAGTATTGTTGTATCCGCCTAAATGTTTGTTTCTTTTGAATTCAGCAAAACAAAGAAAAACTGCTCTTCATCGGTATGACACTGAGAGAGGTGTTAAAGAGTTAATGGAGTCGAGCCATTTGGAGGAAAAAGATGGGACGGGCATAGACGTTCCTTTCTTTGAATTTGAAAGCATACTAGCTGCAACAGACAATTTCTCAGAAGAAAACAAACTTGGGAAAGGAGGGTTTGGGCCGGTTTACAAGGTATATAGTTTGCCAGACTTTCAGAAATTGATGTCATTTATTCTTGGTGGTTCTATTATCTTACAAAGCCTATGATCCCAGGGTAAGTTTCCAGGAGGTCAAGAAATTGCTGTAAAGAGGCTCTCAAGTGTTTCAGGACAGGGCTTGGATGAATTCAAAAATGAGGTTGTGTTGATTGCTAAACTTCAACACAGGAATCTTGTGAGGCTATTGGGGTACTGCATAAGAGGAGAGGAAAAGATTCTACTCTATGAATATATGCCCAACAAAAGCTTAGACTCTTTGATATTTGGTTAGCCGCTGAAACCTTAACTGTTATCCTATTTGATCCTGATTGAACTTTTTTTTATTTTACTAATTTAGAGAAACCAAAAAGAAAGAAAAATATATCTTATAGGGTGACTGATATTTGTTATGGTCTTCCATGAGGAATTATAAAGATGAATCATTTAGCCAACGATTGGACTGGAAGACACGCTTCAACATCATCATAGGAATTGCTAGAGGATTGCTTTATCTTCACCAGGATTCCAGGTTGAGAATCATTCACAGAGATTTGAAAACTAGCAACATACTACTAGATGCAGAGATGAATCCAAAAATATCCGATTTTGGCCTTGCAAGGATGATCCAAGGAAAACAAACTGAAGGAAACACAGTTAGAGTAGTTGGAACATAGTGAGTTGCAAATTTTCTTATTTATTGCAGCATGGAATTAATTTCTACTTTCCGGCTATGCTTTCAACCAAGAACTTTATACCAAAAAAAAAATATATATATGAAGGTAATGCACTTCTAAGGTCAAATCATAATGATTGTTCTAAAATGCAGTGGGTATATGGCGCCAGAATATGCATTAGATGGACTTTTCTCAGTAAAATCTGATGTTTTTAGCTTTGGCGTCATCATGCTTGAGATCATTAGCGGAAAAAAGAACATGAGATTTTATCAGGAGGAACATGCCCCAAGCCTAATTGGTTATGTAAGAATAGATGAATTTTTCTGGTGTAAATTTAGTCCTTTATCAATACTTTCCTTCTCCATATATACCAACTGCAATTTTAACTTTTGTTGCAGGCATGGAGATTGTGGCAAGAAGGTAAGGCATTGGATTTAATGGAGGAGACAGTGCGGTCAAGTTGCAATGCAAGTGAGTTTTTGAGGTGTGTCCACGTTGGACTGTTATGCGTGCAAGAAGATTCCAACGATCGCCCCACCATGTCCAATGTTGTTATCTTACTGGGTAACGAAACTGTGAGCCTTCCTATTCCTAAACAGCCAGCCTTTCTGACGAGGAAAACCCTTTCTAGCACAGCTTCTACCTCCAGTAAAGCTGAAATTAATACTGAGATCACTGCTACTCTGGAAGAAGGCCGATAATTCTGAAGGCTGTCGTGAATATGTTATTTATATTGTTATTATTATTATTCCTCATGAGTCATGATCATGAATATTTTCCTCCATTGTTAATCTTGTTCTCAAACATATTTATACTCTGTTTAATTTTTCTTTTTTGTTGTACGTTGTTTTGAGCTTGCAAAAACTGTTTACTAAAATTAAAAATTCAATACTTTATTTACAGATCGTACGTCCAAACAAAATAAAAATCCCATAGTTAGACATTTGAAAGAGTAAGATTCTCAATTATTTTTGTAGTTCAAATTGGTGTTCAATAGTACGAGTTCATGTAACCTTTTTCTTTTATATTGGTCTATGTTACACGTGCTTGTGCCACGAGCCAGGAGCTTAAGCTTAGCATTCGTGTGGCTTTAACCAAGAAATTACTATTCATATGCCTAAGTCAGCCTTTTCTTCAACTTTATGTTGTGCACTGTATTAGCTCCGTAGGACTTTAGAAGAAAGTTAAGAGTTTAGGAGAAAACTAAAAAAGGAAAACATTAAAGCAATTATACTTCTGTTTATGTGATGTTATATACAATTGCCCAATGTCCTACAAAGACTCTCTTGTGTTTATCCTTAAGTCTCTAAGTATGGCTTCTTACTATGACTTGTTGGTTCTTACTTGTGTTATCTATGTATCTTGTTCAAATGAGGTGAAAGGCCGCTCTATTTATACTTGAGCCTCTCAAGCACATAAGGTTTATATTAATCTAAGTGTATGGCCATCATAGGCCTTTTAGACCATTCTATGGTTCTTAGACACCATCTAAGTCGGTTAAGGCTTCTACAAAATCTAGCTAGTTTCAGGCTCTCTGCTGAGCCACGGGTCAAGAAGGGTCCATGTACTCTCGTTGAGTGCACATACCTAATGGATTCTAGAATCTTTTCCGTTTGATTGCTGCTTTGCCTGCAATTAGAATCGACAATCCAATTCGTCTCTGACGGATTTCGATCCGATCTGACCCGACCCTATGAGGTCAATTTATTTTTTTTGAAATTCGGATTTTGGGTCGGATCGGGTTGGCAAAGTTAGAAAACAATCGGGTCGGGTCGAATTTAGGCAAATCCGACCTGATCCGATATTATATAAAAAATTATTTTTTAATTAATTATTTAATTTTTTATTTATATATATATTTATATAATGATATTTTTAAATATTTATATTTAAAAAATAATTTTTTATTATTTTTAGATTGGATCGGATCAAATAGGTTTATATAGTATCGGGTTGAGATCGGGTATGAAAAAGTAAAAAAATTTTCGACTAAATTGAATTCGGATTTAATAACACAAAAATCGAATCGGATTCGAGGCAAGTAAAACACATCCCGAACTTGACCCGATGCCAACCCTACCTACAACTAGAGCCTTTCAGTGTTTTCCTTGTCCGGACACTATAGTACTTGCTATTGTTCTTGCGCCTTGCCTTTGTAGAACCTTCGGTGCCAGCATCTGACTTACCTCCAAGCTTCCCTAAATGCTTTTGTGCCCGCGTGCATGGTTTTTTTTCAGGCTACTTTAGACTCTTCTATACCTGACTACCCGCGCCACTTTTTTAGGTTGTTCTAGAACCTTCCAACGAGCAATCCTCATACCCAGCACTAGGCTGTTCGTTTCGGTTGTACTCCCGCACTTTGACTTTGGTTTTATCCGCATATGTATCTTTAGGACCTTGGTCTCGATCCTTCCTTGTCCTCTGCTTGCACCAGCTTGAACAAGCTATGTCTCATGTCCCTCTTGGCTTAAGGTTTGCGCACAATTTGTGACACTTGCATGTGTATGATTAACATGCAAATATTGAAGAATTTTTATGTTAGAATTTTATTTTTTTTAGTAATAATGAACAAAGCAAATTATATAGATAATTGTTACATTAATCATTAAACTATGTTTAGTTTTTTAATTAGTTCCATGCCATGCAATATATATGTTCATGCAAGATCAGCATATTGACCAATGCGTGAATATATTTTCTCTTTTGAACATATGCCATAACTGTATATATATTTTCCTTGAGTTTCAATGACATTTAAAAATAATAACAACAAATAAAAAAATTTATCAAAACAATTTTTATTGAACAAATAATTAAAATTAATTTGATTGTTTTACATACTTAACCTCTTAATAAAGCAATATGATTATTTATTTTGTGGATGGTCAATGTCATTGGATCAATATTTAATAATTGTGTTTTCGTGGAAAGCACTAAAGTATAATAAATTATAAATTGCAATATTATAAGTCATTATTTCAATTTGGCAATCAATTACAAATGATTTATTAAATAATTTTTTAATATCAAATCTTGATTCATTAAAAATATGTACATGTACATGTGAATGTACATAGTAAATATCATTAACTTTAATTGTTTGATTATATTATAGGTATAATCGATCAAGTTCAAATCGATACAGTATCAAGTTCAAGTTTGAGCTAGATTTAAAATTCGAAGTTCGAAACTTGGCTCAAACTTGAACTCGATTGAGTTTTATTTTTTTAGCTCGAGTTTTATTCAAAATAAAAATCGAGTTACTTGAGTTTACTTGATTAGACTCGATTAACATGTAAAAATAAGCTCGATTTTTATATTTGACAAACGTTGATTATTTGTACTTGAGCTCAAGTTTGAGTTAATTAATAATAAAAATATATTTAAATATAAAAACTCGATTAGGCTTCCGAACTAATCAAATCGGGTATAAGAATATTGAAACTCGACTTAATTAATGAGTTGAGTTACTCGAGCTAGAGCTCGACTCAATAATAATCAAGTCGAATTTGAGTTTTATTCGAATCAAACTCAAGTAACTTGTAAGTATTAATATATCATTTACACTTCTAAACTATACCATCATTGTTCGAGGGTTTGTGGATTATAAAAATGATATAATAATATAGGGGAATATTGTTGATTTGTTCCATACATTATTTTAGTGGTTTGAACATTTTGCAAGAAATCTGTATTTTTTATGAAAAAGTTATAATTTATATAGATATGAAAAAGTAAATGAATATGATTAAATATGATTAAAGGATTTATAATAAAGATATAAAATAAAACATTTTTGAAAATAAATAAACAAATAAATTAATTTTAATAAAGAGAAAAAAATTCTTTTTATCAAATAGCTTAAAATTAACATAAAATTAACATAAATTTGATAAATTTGATGAGATGTTGGTGTTTGATGCTGAAGTTTATGGTCACTTTATATGAAATTAATTATCTTATTATATCTGGTGGTAATAATTTAATTAACTTTAATATATCCATTAAAAACTAAACTAACAAGATCTTACTAATTTAAATCCATACCAAGTTGTAAAATCTATACTAACGAAAAATTAAAATAATTTTCATGTGTGTGCAATTTCATAGGGTTAATATTTTATGTCAGATACTATTAATAAAAATCACATGTTAATGTTGACTTTAAGGTTTTTTATTTTTATTTTTTATATATACATAAAAATGAATGTTTAATTTCTTATGATAATTATTAAACATAATAGAAATCTCATAAAAATTAAAATAAACATTGCGATGTAAAAAACTTACAAAGTTAACATTGGTATATAATTTACAAAAATAATTTTTTTTTAAAATATAAAATTTAATATGCATCATTTCTCCATTAACAAGTTTTTTAATAATAAAATAATAAACGAAGTACAATAATAATAACGTATTTAAAAGCAATAGAGAAATTGAGAACCTAACAAATTACTAGGAAAGAGTTAAATAATGTCATGTAATATTGGAATATGTAATTCAAAATCAAATTCTTAATATCCCTTAAATACTTTTAACCATTAGATTAAAAGTCTGAGGATATATAAATTTCTTTAGATATCACTAATAATTATATTCAAAATTAAAATGTCAGTTTTTTGAATTTGATGTAATCGTTTCTTGTGTGAAATTTAGAAGCGAAATTACCATTATTCAGCAAAAGAAAAAAAATAAAAAACAATCCTTAGCGGAGCTTGTAGTAGATATAGATGAAATGGAGGCCCGAAGAGATCCAAGAACGAGAGAGAAGTACGATTGGCGCAAGATGAGCTGAGTGAGAGATTCTGACGGCCCATAAAAACTAAATTGGACTCTTTGGGGTTAGGGATCTTTGGGAAGCCTAGCAAACAGTCAATCGGCAGTCGAGATGATCCGTCACTTCTAAGTAAGCATTGCACCTGGCGCAATCAATGGGACGTTTACTCTTTACTTTTAAGCCGAATGGCACTGAGCAAAATAAAAAAGTTGGGAATCCACGCGAAAATCTTATTGACATTGCCACTTACGATTTAGGAAGCGGATTAATTCAATAAATGAAAAGAACACCACGTGAATGTATGGTCAAGATTTTTCTTCCATTTCGCTTTGAACATAATCCATGTTTTCTTGCAAAAAGCAATTAGACATATCATCAGGTGCAATGCATGACATTATCTAAATTAAGGTGTTTGTTGCTATACTCTCTAACTTGTTTCGAGTTTTTCACAATTGGTTGGCTAAGGCTCTTGAGTATATCATGGTCCTCAATTTCCGGATGTCTTTTAAGTTCCTCAAAGCATCAGATCTGTGTTTTGCTTCAAGTGGATGAAAGCCAAAGTTCTGTATTTCCCAATCACAGCCGATTAGGCTTTGTAGTCAACTGCCTGATATGCTTGCATGTCTGGGTTGTTCTCTCTCCACCTTCTCATCTTGGCATCCTGCACAATTGCACATAGCATCCAAGAAGTTATTTTGAGTTGAGTCCTCTTGGTTCCTAAAACACATAGATACCATAATTCACTGTACGGATTGCTGCTTAGTTCCCGGCAGTCGATGAAGGTGACTGCCACACAATTGACACAGATAACTTATATTAGATAACTTATATTAGGTTTAAATTCTATCACATTTTTAATATGATATAATTAAATTTATCGTATTATTAATTAAATTTAAAAATTAATTTTAATAATATTTATTTAATATAAAATTTTTTTATTTTTAATTATAATTATAATAATTTTTTTAAATCATAATTCTAATAATTTTTGTTAATGTTTTTAATCTCATCATAAAACGGAGCATTAGGGGTTGGTATTTCACTTCCTAAAAAAAAAATGCCAATGACAATGGCGATAGTCTTAATGGGTCGTTTTCATCAAATATAAATAAGCTGAAATGGAAAGTGGAAGTATATGGTGGAATCACATCTTAATCACAGAAGAAGACAAAGATAATTTCAAGTCAGGGGCCCCTCTTATAAAAAGATAAAGAAAAATATGAAACAAAATGCAATGACCTTGACCTCTTTGGCCTAACATATGAAAAGACCTTTGACCCCACTCTCACAACGACAATTCATTCAACTTTTAAGTACTGTAGATCATTATCTAAATTGCTTGTGTTAGTCTACTGAAGTTATAGTGGAGTGAATATTTTTAACTGAGATCAAGATTTGGAGAAAACATCAATTTAATTTCGCCCCATTAAAATCACTTTGTGAGTTTTTCCCAGGTTTATAGATCAACGCTAGAATATTGTTAGAGTAATAGAAAACATTCATCTTAAAAAGAATTAGAAGAGCTTTCTTTCCCAAGGATTATTTGCTACCTGGAAATTAGAAAAGCATAAGGCCAATCGGTACGTCAAAACTTTCTTTTCTCCAAATTTCCATATCACGAGGGAAATTTCAATTTTTAAATGATTCTGTCGCTATTAGCTTTAGTTTAGTTATTCAACTATGCGACAATACTTCACCATCATCTTCGACAGTCGATCCGTGGATAGTATTAGCTGCTGACCAAGCTGCCTTGTTGGGGGCGTTTTGGATGACGGAAACAACGGCAGAGCACTTTTGAAGAAGAGAATATGAAAATTTCTGCAGAACCTGTGGAAACAGGTTACTGCTAAGCCAATGAATGCCTCCTAGTTTTTGATATTCCATAATAATCATAAGTGAGAGAAGTAAGATCAAAGAAAAATCATTACAACATTAATTGTTTGGTAAGGCAGATGCTACCAACATTATTTTTGTGCACATTTGTGTTTTGCAGTTCTATTCTATGTTCTCCTGCTAAGGAAACCATAGCAGTAAACAGTTCGATCAGTGATGGTGGAGATAGGATGATTTCAACAGGAAAAAGGTTTGAACTAGGATTTTTCACTCCTAATGGAAGCTCTAACTATAGGAGATACGTGGGGATATGCTATTATAGTTAAAATCCGCAAACAGTTGTATGGGTTGCCAATAGAGACAAGCCACTTTTGGACGATAGTGGATTCCCTTTTGTTGGAGTGGATGGCAACCTCAAGGTGCTGGATGGAAGCGGGAAATCTTTCTGGTCAACGAATCTTGAAGCAGTGTCTTCTGGATATAGAAAAGCCAGGTTGACGGATGCTGGGAACCTGGTGCTGAGCAATGAAGAACAAGAAAACCACTCAGCCGACGTTATCTGGCAGAGTTTTGATAATCCAACTGACACATTTCTTCCAGGCATGAGAATGGATGGAGACATGATACTAACTTCTTGGAAAAGTTATGATGATCCAGCTCCGGGGAATTTCACATTTCAGATAGACCAAGAAAGAGTTAACCAGTTCATCATTTGGAAAAGAACAAGAAGGAATCGGAAAAGTGGTGTTCGGGTAAATTCATTGGGCCTGTGGGATGCCTTCAGCCATGCCATCAGCAATTTCTTTCTTTTTGTCAAATTTTACCTCAGTTATACTCCATAACGAGTCCATGCCTCATCTTACTTCATCATTATACAGTGATACAAGGTTGATTATCAGTTTCTCCGGTCAAATTCAGTATTTTCAGTGGGATTCTGAGAAGATCTGGGCCTTGAATTGGGCAGAGCCCAGATAAATGCAGTGTCTACAATGCAAGTGGAAATTTCGGTAGCTGCAACAGCAACAATGACTTGATGTGCAAATGTTTACCTGGCTTTGCACCTAGTTCACCAGAAAATTGGAATACCTGGATGCACTAGAAAGTCAAGGATATGCAACAAGAACGCTGAGAGTGACACATTCTTGAGTTTGAATATGATGGAAGTGGGGAATCCAAACTCGCAGTTTAATGCTCAGAATGAAATGGAATGCAAATTAGAGTGCCTTAACAACTACCAGTGCCAGGCTTATTCCTATGAAGAACCTGATATTGTTCCACAGGGTGGTAGCAGCATTGCTGCATGTTGGATATGGTTGGAAGGTCTCAACAATATCCAGGAGGAGTATGAAGGTGGCCACAACCTTAATGTCCGGTTAGCAGTTTCTGATGTAGGTACAACCCTTTCCCTTCTGAAAATTGCTTGATTTTATGATTCTCGAAAAGTTAATGATCAATTTTGCTTCATGACAATCCTCTTTCTAAGTCAGATGTGAACTATAGATGAGGTATATCTGTATACATCCTATAGAATGAGAAATCTGCAGAAGCCTATTAGGCCATACTAAACTAATTTCTCAAATTTGTGATGGTTTGAACCTAAACCTGTTTGAATAACGTTTGCCCATTTAGACAATTTGAGTTCCTGCTTTAAGGAAATTCCTTATTTTCTGATTCTACTGCCATGCTTCTTTTGTCAGAGATATGGCCTGAAAACTTCTATGACTACTTATTAAATGATAGTTGACTATGTAATGAATATTATGCTTTCTGTCTATTTTGGTAGTAGCTTAAAAATGTAATCCCTGAGAAACTATGTAGATGACTTTAGGAGAGGAAAAAGGTTTTTTTTTTTCTTCTTCATTGTGTTTGGTGCGAAGGATAGAAAATACAGAGAAAGAAACAAGTTAAGGGTAAAGTTGTAAATAAATTTGTTAATTTAATTTAATTGAGTGTTTTCCTTTCACATTTGAAAGGTTTGCGTTTGAATGAAAGGAATATGTAAATCCACCCATTTTGCTTCCCTCCCCTTATTTCTCTCCTACCAAACCAAGGAAATGCTGAAAAGAAAGTAGTTTTTCCTACCACTCTCTTTCCCTCCTACCAAACACAGTGTAAAAGTTATTCTGTTTGCATCGGAGAATTCTATTGTGTCTATTGTGTGCTACCTGTCTGGACTTACAGGCTAGTTATATGAGGTTCAGAAGTCATGTTTCCCATTTTAAATCATTTCTCAATGAGAAATGACAAAGAGCTTATCATCTGAATTTCAAGTCATTTTATGACTACAGAATCAACCAGAAGAAGTTGTGAGACTTGTCGCACAACCTGATTCCCTATCCACTGAGCACTGGACCAAAGTGTGGTGATGCCCTGTACCTCAGTTTTCACTGCAACATCTCTTCAGGGGAAGTTACCTTTGATGTGCCCAGTGGCACCTATAGAGTGACAAGCATAAATCCAGAAATACGGAAATTTACCATTCAAACCAACGATGCAAATGATTATAAGGCTGGAAATTCAGGTGACAATTTCTTTCAGTTCAAGCAGCCATCGCCATTTCATGTTACTAGCAGGTGTAATGCAGATGAAGTAGAGATAGGCTGGGATCCTCCATTGGAGCCAACCTGCTCTTCAACTACAGATTGCAAAGATTGGCCTTTATTCAACTTGTAATGTAACAAGAGATGGAAAGAAGAGCTGCCTCTGCAGTACAAACTTTCGATGGGATAACTTGAGTCTGAATTGCACTGAAGGTAGAATGATATAACTAACTAACTAATCGGATACCATTATTTGCTTCACAGAAGTTCATTATGTTTTCTTGATAATGAATAAATTAAATCAGTCATGCTGAGGGAAATCATATTGCAATGGCCTTTTTGTTAATTGCCAATAATACAGTGGGAGGGATAAGACAATAAGAGTAATAAAATTGGCCGCATATTCTCCTATGCAGAGTCAATCTATTAAGTATATGTATACTAATAATGCTCAGGCAACAACTGTGAATTTTGATGCAAATAACTTTCGCTATCAAAGTATAAGTTTGACTTACAGGAAAAGCAGAGATTGAATTTGTTGGGAATAATGACTCAAATCTTATAAGAGATTTGTTTGATTTGTTTGAGATTTGTCAGATATTGATTGATGGACAAGAAGACTTGCAAAAGAAGAATTCTAAGAGAAAGAAGATTCTTAATAGATAAGTTTGACTTGCAAGAGAAGAATTCTAAAAAGAAAGGGATTCTTAATAGGTAAGTTTGACTTACAAGAGAAGAATTCTAAGAGGAGAGAGATTATTAATGGACAAGTTTGTATGGTTATAAATAGGTGAAGTCTCTACAGGATTAAGTATGAGAAAAAGATGTAAGAGAGTTGTAGGATTTTGTGGGATAGACATCCTATAGGAGTATTGAGGCTCTACGTCTTATGAGTGTGTATGTTTGTTTGTGAGTGAATTAGAGGAGACTGAGAGGGTCCACATAGGCATAATGTATGGGAGTGTGTTTGGATATATTGAAAGGGTGCACAAGAGTTTGGATTTGTGTTTGTTTAGGTTGAGAATACTCCATAAGACTAGAGGAGATTGAGAGTATCTTATAAGTATTGATTGTTGAGTGAGATTAATGATATATTGTATGTTTGTAATTCTCTACAACTAGTGGATCTTGTTTTTCATCCGTGAACGTAGATTGATTGAACCGAACCACGTTAAATTATTGTCTCTTGTGTGTTTAATTTCGCTTCCGTTAGTACGATTGGGTTGGAGGCTTTTAGCCCAACAGAATTTACATACATGTAACTTACAAGTCTATATGTTAAAAGGTTCCTTCTTTACTCCAGCAGACAGTGGCTATGGAGAAAAGAGATACAAGTCTTCAACCAGAAAGATGGCTTTATCTCTGATCCTTGTAATAGCTTTTATTAGCGCGGTTGTTCTAACCATTTTGTCAAGCACCATCGTTTAAGTTTACTTGCAGAGGAGAAAACTGGCCGAGGGAGAAGGTAATTGTCAACCCTTTCTTTTTTTTTCAGAAAATGAATCTCAAATTTTGGGGGTTGTTCCATTTGGTTGCAAGAAGTAATATCTGAAATATAGGGATATGGGGAAGCATTCAAAGAAATTCTGCACTTCACTTGTATGACAGTGAGAGACATGTCAAAGACCTGAGTGATTCAGGACGGCTTAAAGAAGATGATACATATGGCATAGAGGTACCATTTTTTCATTTGGAAAGTATTCTAGCAGCAACAAAAAACTTCTCAAATGCAAACAACCAGGGGTAAGGGGGATTTGGGCCTGTTTACAAGATAATATACTTTTATTCTACTATTTATAATTCGTCTTTCTAATTGTGTTTGGTTAAAAATGGATGCTGAAAACGGGAAGCTACTACCAGGGTAAGTTTCCAGGAGGGCATGAAATTGCTGTATAAGAGGCTCTCAAGTGGTTCAGGACAAGGCTTAGAGGAATTCAAAAATGAGGTCGTGCTGATTGCAAGACTTCAACATCAAAATCTTGTCAGACTTTTAGGCTATTGTGTTGCAGGATTCTGGGCTTTACATGAAGCCGAGTGATCTTACAGGCTGGGATCCAAGACACACAACCCCCTAATTAGTCAAATCGTTCATTTCTCGAGAGGCTCACTGCTAGCCACAAATTCTTTCCAGTGTAAACCCGCTGTTTAGATCGTACATGAGAAGTTATTTGCTGGCATCCGTCGTATTTTTAGTCTTAAAAAGAGCATTGAAAATTAGAACCGAAAAGAATCACATTCAGGATATATTTAATTTGAGAAAATATTTTTTATATATTTTTTTAAAAAGTCATTTTTATTTTTGTTTTTTAAATTTAAAAATCTTGTTTGTTTTAAGAAAATGAATAATTATCTTCAAAAATGAAAATAATAAAAACATTTTTAATATTTATATTTTCAACTTACATTTTTGAGTAACATTGAATATTGATGAAAGATGATAGTTATTTGTGTAAATGAAAACTAAAAATTTAAAGATTAGAGTCTAACAAGATTTTTGATGTTAAATTCATTTTTTTATTGCTTTCAAAATTTTCATGCTTCTAATAAAAATTTTTGGGTAAATTACTTTTATCGTTTTAAAGTGAGTATCGCATTGATTTTTAAATTTTAAAAAATAATTTATTGATCCATATGCTTTAATAGTTGTAACTAAATAATCTTTTTTTAAGTCAAATTGTTACTTAAAACCAAAAGATAGAAGGAAATTAAGTTACAACGAGAGATAATGGATTGATAATATTATAAGTTTGTGGTTAAAAGATACAATAATTATAAAGAAAACAAAAGTTTGATGAAATTTATTTTTTTAGATATTAATTTTTATGCATTATTTTTTTTTTTGTGATGTTAATTTTTATATTAATTAAACTTTTTTTAAAAAAAATTTTGCTGAGTTTAAAATTAAATTTACCCATAAATTGAATAGTTAATAAAATTTGTAAGTTCAGCTAAATTCAAATCAAGTTTTGAACATAATTTTTAAAATTTAAACTCGATCACATCAAATTAGTATTTTATACATATAATTTTTTTATTTAATTTGTAATTTCAAATATATTTAAAAATTAAAATATTAAAAAATATTTTTAATATTTTAATTTTTAATAATAAAATAGGCCTATTCGGGTGAGGTTTTTAATTGACGAGTTAAACTGAATTTTGAATGAGACTTTATAAGTGTCATCCAAATTTGGCTCAACTTATTAAAATATTTAACTGTGATCCGAATAATTAAATTTGTTAGTTTTTATTAATAAGTGGTAATGTGAAAATTTATAATATTTTATTAAAAATTGTATACTAATATTTTATAACTAAGAAAAAAACTTGATTTTTGAAGAAATATTTTAAAATAAATGATAAATACACAATGAAGTATTTTATAATGATTTATAATCTAATTATGTGTTTTAAACAAATAATAAATAAATTTGAAGAAAATAGGTAATTTGTATTTTCAATACACAAACTCTTTTTTATGCTAAAACTTAATCCAAAAAAACTATTTACTAAAAAAAATTGAGAATTAAAATGTAATTTTATTTTTTATATAATTATTAAATTTACTAATATTAAGTAAAAAAGTTTTATCATCATCTTGTTTTGTATTTTAACATTAAGTGGTTTAACTAACAGGTTTGTTGATGAAATGATTATTTCGTTACGATCATCAAAGTATAAAGATTAATATATTATTTTTTAAAATTTAAGGATCAAAATAATACTTACTTCAAACTTTAAAAGCTGTGAAAGTAATTTAACCAAAAAATTTTAATGTTTTCAAATATTGCAAATATAGTTATTTTCATATATTTTCAATGATTATAGTTTCACATTGTCAAAGATAAAATTATTTTTTTCACCCAATATATGATTATTTTTATATTTACTAGATTGTTGTCCCTCGTTTTGAAAGAGGTAATTTTTTTTATAAATTTTAATATTTTTGTTAAAAAAATTTTCGTTCGGTTTAAGTTTTTTATTTATATGTATTTTTTAAATGTAAAATTATGAAAAATTAAATTTTGATTATTAAAACTAAAATTTGTTTTTTATTAAGAAATCACATTATATGTAGTTACATTTCATAATAATAGAACGAAAAAACATAATATATAATTTAAAAAAGATACAATAATTTAAAATTTTGATAACGTTTAAGAGTTTATGCAGTTTTTTACTTAATATCATGTTTTTTAATAAGAGTCTATTTTTTTCTCTAAAAGGTGCAAACGGTTTCTAGAAGGCCAGTCGGCCAAAGGGGTTGTCTCTTAAGTATCAATTTTTTTTTTGGTTTTGGCCATTTCAACCCATCCATTTCTCTCTCTAAACTGAACTCATTTTCTCTAAAATCTAAAAATCTTCGCTAAGAAAACTGAATGAAGCTCAGATCCTAACTGGATTCCGCCATACTCTGTCAAAAACTTTAAAAGCAACCTAATTTTTGACTATCAGTTGTCTAAAACCTCAACCTTTTCCAGATCTCACCCACCAACTATAGCATGGCTATAGCCAAACCCTTTTGGCTGTCGCTCACCGACAATAAAAAAATCCCAAAAACTTCTCTTCAGTACCTCTTTTAACTTCTCTATCTTGCTTTTCCAAAAAATGTCATCAGTTTTCTAGATTTGGACTTGAACGGAAAGGGGAGAACGAAAGAGAAGGGAATGATTCCTGGTTGTCTAGTGGAACCCTGTCCGTGAAATCCCTTTGATTAAAAAGCCCCAAAACCCTACCTCCACCAACTTATATACTTCCCAGCCCAGTATGTTATTGCATTCAAATATTTAGATTTGTGTAAAGAATCAATAGTTTTAATCTTTATTATTTATTATTTATACAGAGCTAAGGCCATATGATGTTGTTGTCGACAACTTCACCTAATTCTTTTACACCATCCTAGATCTTATTTGAGTTGTTAGAACTTTTGTTTATGCCTACGGATTAGATTGGTGTATTGCTTTGTTAAGGGGCAAAATGGAAATTTTGGTATAGTTTGTAATATTAAACAATGAGTGAGGGTAAAATATTTATTTCATAATAAAAGATCGTTGTCACATAAACAGCCCCTTAGAGTGTAGATAAATGAGAAAAC